TGAGGGGATGCGGAAAATTACCCTGGGCCCGGCACTCGATGATGCCCCTGCCATGTACGATTACCTTCGGCTCTGACTGGGATTGGGACTGGGATTGGGATTGCAATGTGGACTGGGACTTGCTGCTGCGTCGCCTCTGCTGCGCCCCCTCCTCGTAGTCGAGGGCTGACGGGTAGTCGCTGCGTCGACTGCTCGCAGTGGCCGTCATCAGGGCGGGCTTGCTGGGTGGCCGGCTGTACACCTCGATGTACTTGTGGGGCCGGCGACGACTCTGCTGGCGGCGCGATAGCGGCGGGGCTGAGTGTCCGGCCTCAGGGTTTCCAGTTGAGTAGTAGGGCGTGGCTACTGTGGTGGACTGTGGCCGACGTGGGCGTGGCACCAGCTGGCGCCCTGTAAACCGAGAGGGGAAATTGGATCATCAAAGGGGGAGTAGAAGGGTAAGGTAGGGCACTCACGTATTCCCGGACCGAGGGCCAGTGCTGTTGCTGGGGTGGTGGTGCTAGTGGTGGTGCTGCTGCTGCTGGTCGTGGTGGTGGTGGTGGTGGCTGGGCTGCCACTGCTGGCGACACTCTCGAAGGGGATCTGATTGAAGCGGCTCGTGTGGATGCTGGACTTGGCCACCTGATCCTCATCGTCCTCGTTGGCATACAGATTTGTGGTGGTCTCCGTCAGCGGTGGCACAATGGTGGTGCGTGTGGCCGGTGCTGGTGTGGTGGATATCAGGGTGAGGCGCCGCTTGAAGAGGGGGTTCTGCGTGCGCGGCACCTCAGTTGCTGCGGTATACAAAAAAACATCTATCATTTCCAACACAGAGCGTGGAGTGGGAGTAGAAGAGAGAGAGAGACACATTGGTTGTACACATTTCACCGCTGGCCACCTCTGTCCGACCAGAGCTGTGCGCATATTAAATGGAAGGTAAGAGCGGCGGTCACTGCCTTACCTTCTCTTTAATATACCTCGAAGCTGAGGCTGAGGCTGCTGCCCCCCCGCGCTGCCACTGCATATACATAGTTTCTGCTGCTGGCCGTCGCCACTGCGCTACTCTACTCACCACTCTCATCCCCGCTGCTCGCTCCCGGCGCAAAGGTCGTCAGTCGACGCGTCTGGAATTGGCGTCGCAGCGCAAAGCTCGCTGGCTGGAATTTATGCTGCTTTTGTGTGATGTCATTGCTGCTGCTGCTGTTGCTGCTGGCGATCGCTGAAGTTGTCTCTGCGGATGATGAGCTTTTGGCTTTAAGCTTGCTCAGATAACCGTTGCTATTGCTGCTGCCTCTGCTGGCGGTGGCACTGGCTGCAGCTGTTGCAGACGCTGCTGCCGGAGTTGTGGCGGCTGTTGCTGTTGCTGCTGCTGCTGGAATTGTGGTTGCTGCCGCTGCTGGCCTGCTGCGCAGTCGATTGTATTTGGAGGTCGTTGTTAATTCTGCAATTTGCGTGGTCGTTGCTGCTGCTGCCGCTCCCGCTGCCGCCGCCGACGTTGGCGTATTGATAATGCGCCGGCGCACACTCAGCACGGGCCGCCTCGAGACGTTGGCAGTTGTTGGCTGGCGCAGCTGCCGGTCGGTGGTGCGGTGATTAGCGGTACATGAAAGAGATGGAGATGAGAGAGAGAGAGAGAGAGCAAGCAGAGTTCCAGTTAGCTTTCGTTTGGCAAGGGTATTTTCAGGGTATTCATTCACTTCGTTTATCGCGTGTGTATTCTACTCTATCAGACTTTTCTGTGACTTTTTTGTGTGATACTTTTTGTGTAATATTTTTTGTGTTCATTTTGTGATTTGTGAGCATCTTTTTTTCATTGGGTTGTGCATTTTTCCTGGCGGTGCAGTTTTCACAGTTCAACAACAATTCAAAAGCGCGCTACATGCTGATAAATAATAGTAAAATAATAAAATAATTAGTTCATTCTAATCAATAAATACTTGTAGCATTAGTATTAGTAGTAAATGTTTCAACTACAAAGAAAAGAAATCAACTAAAGAATTACTAACATTTCTATGTGCAAATAAATTGTTAGGCATTTTGGCGTTTTGTTGTGTTTCTTTTGTGTTTAAATACTTTCAGATGATAATCCCCATAGCCCCATAAAGAGAAACAATTCAAAGTACATGTCCCTCAAGCCTTCCCAGTGCAGAGTTTAAATGAAACCCTTCAAGCTGTATCCCCCGAAAGCTGTACTTTCCATTCCAGCGCCTGTCAAGAGCGCCGCTAACGGCGCCTGCCCCCCTCATCCAGTTGATTTGATTGAATGCGAATGTCAACGACAAACGAGAGCACATGAATATTGAGAGCAACACAGCAACAGCAACAGCATAGCAGCAAAAAAAAATGCAGTCAGGCATTTTAATTGAAGGACGTTCGAGTGCAAAATAAATACCATTCAATAATAGATGTGGAAAAATACCCAAGCAAAATGCCAGTTACGTTGTGAGCATTTTGTGCTAGTTTTTTTATTTCCATTGCTTCTGTTGTTGTGTCGACAATGTTGTTGACATTGAAAACAGCTTCAAGAAGGAGACACACATAAAGAAATAGAAAACGTGGTGAGAGATGGAGATAGAGAGAGTTTCGTTTCACTTCAAGAGCTTTGATCAATGGCCCTCAACGCAAGTGTCAATGTCGCTGGAAGGGCCGACATGGGAAGACACGCACACAGACACGCCTCAAAACAAAAGCTTGCATAATGGAAACAGGCAACAGGCGCAAGTTTATCTCCAAAGTGTGGCACGCCACACGCATATGATTATCTCTTGAGTGGGAGCTGGGCCGGAGCTGGGGCTGGGTCTTTGGGGCTGGGCAGATGGATGACACACTTTAACGTTGAGGAGTGGGGGGGGGTGGGGTGGGGAGAGAGCTTGCATAACAGAGTCCGGTGCTCATCGCATGGAATCGATTGGAACGCAGCAGCAGCAGTCTGTGGCCAGATCTGGTATTTGGCAACTCTGCTGCTGACTGCATTCCAATGTGATTGCATAATCCCGGATCAGCAAAGCTGCTGCTGATGCTGCTTCTGCTGCTTTGCAGGCAGATGCGCTGCGCTGTCAAACTGGTTGGAACCTTAATTAAATATTGTGCAAGCCCCATGCCCCTGCCCCCATGCCCAATCATCATCAATGATTCCAGAGAGTGAGAGTCCAGCGGATGATGCGTGGAGGGCGTCGTCATCTGCGTATCTTGTGCCTTGTCTCATGTTGGCAGTGAAAGTTGCCTCTGGGGCGGCGGACATGTGCAAATCAAAAGACTCAAGAAACAAGAGTGAAAGCGCGCACCCGGAATCTAGAAGGGCTGAGTGTGGTGCGAGTGGAATGGCGAGTGAGATTCGATCCCTTCAAGGTTAACTTGCATCTGTAATGAGAGCGAGCTTTCCAGATTAACAGAGAGCAGAGACTGAGAGATAAGAGAGGGAAGAATGCACATGCGAGAGTGTGGACTGGCTTTGCTTTGAAAAGCTTTTCATTCCAGAAAGAATTGTTTTTGTTTTGATCAACACTTGGATCTTCTGTTCATTTGTGCTGCTTGAAATTCAAAACATTCGCCAAAGTATCAGAAAAAGTAATCTAAAGCTGCGGTAATCTCTTCTGGGAATCTCCCCCTAAAGCCCCATTGGCATTCAACTTGCGACAAGACAATGAGAAGACAATGTGGCACTGTGGCACAGCATTTGTGTGGCTTCTTTTTATTATGCATTGCATTATTACGAGGGTATTTCGTTTGCTTTGTAACTGCTTTTAGTGCATCTTTCAAATTGGATTTTCATGCACTCTTGACATCCACTCGAGGATTTCAAAGACAAAATCAACCGCCGGCAACGGCAACGGCACCGGCAACGGCACCGTCGCTTCAAGACACTTGAAAAATCGTTGAACCGTTTTAATGTTTCTCACGTTAACGACTTTTTGTCAACCTGATTTCGGAGACTTTTTTGTTTTTTTTTTTGTCAGTTTTGTTTTTATTTGTTCGTTTTTGTTATGTGGCGCGTGATTTGACTTTTGGCAATTATCATTTGCCTGGAGTGTACGGAGTGTGTACGGTTGGGGGGGTACTACGCGGAGTAGTGCCAAACCAAAGCAAGCAAAACGACGACAATTACGATTATGAAACATGTCTTGTCTCCCCGTGTCTGTCTGCTCAGGTCTTTTGCAAATTGTTTTAATGCGAACTCGTTTTGTACTTCATTTTATTTTATGTTTTGTTTGCTCTTTTGCGACTGACTGACTGACTCTTTGCTGACTCTGCACATCTTGTGCGGTGGATCCAACGAAAGTTGAAACCTATTATCCGGACAAACAGTACATTGTACATATGTACATATGCACCGAACAAAAAAGGGGCAGACGCTAATGAAGATGATTGCATCCAAAGTCAGGTTTTTGAGGAATAATCGCCATTTATCGCCTTAACGATTAAAAAGTAATCAGTCATCGACGTAGTCTGGCATCGGAGAATAAAGTTTGAGTTTGATAAAGCCAAACGATTGCTAATGTCAGAATATTTCAACTAATTTAAGTGTAATCTTTGGCTATATAATACTACGAATATACCCATCCCGATTTCTCCCTGTGCACTGGCCTGTTATGAGTGTTTTTGTTTTGTTTGTTTCTGCATATGCATGAGGCAATGGCCACTTCATGAAACGATGACATTTCAGAGCAGCAGCTGCAGTAGAGTCCAAAGAGGAGACCCAGCTAATGAGATTCTACGGGTGACATTTGCTTGCAGTCGAAGTTGCCTCATGTGGCGACTGACATCTAAAGATTTACCAAACGTTTTTCTTATAACTTTAATAATGAACTACAATATCTTAAAAATCCCCTAAAAAGCCTGCTGTAAATGTAGAAAATAAAATGTGTTAAAAGCGATATTCAATTTAAAAAAAATTTAAAATTAATATATATACAAAATATACACAAAACTTTTGCAGATTTGTTTACCATTATTTGGGGCTATAGGTTAAGGGGATTTGTGTGTTGGGTTGTTGTTGTTGTGTTCTGTTGTGGCTGTTGTTCGCAAATAATATGTATAAAATATGTATAATTGTTGGTTTCTTTTTTGTTCATTATTTTATTGTTGTGCATAAATATTTTACAACTAGAGCTATACTTAAGATATTTGTTTTTCGGATAGAGGAATAGTCGTAGAAGAGTTGTAGAAGAGGGTGAAAGAAGAGTGTAGAGAAATAAAGAGGAAAGAAACTGCGCATGGTAAAAACAAAAGCAACAAAAATTTAAAAGAATTTTTTTCTGGTAACTTTCAGGTATAAGTTAAGGCATCATCCACTGGGGGTCGTATTGATTGTTTGATTGATTGATTTGATTGAACCAAGGAAAGACTTTTCGCATCTGCATGGTTGAATGTTTAAATGTGTGTGTCAGTATGTGTGTGTGTATGTGTTGTTTGGCTGTGTATGTGTTTGTTTAGGTATGGCAGCTTGAAGAATACGAATTGTTTAAATAATATATTAACAAAAAAAAAATATATATAGATATAGATATAGAAATGAAATAGAAATGGAGAATATTCCGAAAAGCAGGCAGCACTTGAAAATGGGCAATTTTGGTTTTTTTTTAAGTTAAGAAAATTAAAAAATTTGAAAAAATTAACGCCAAACGAATTTTGCGATTTTTTCTGTATGTTTGCTTTTGCTGTTAGTTCAAAGGCAAAGCAACGCAGCCAATTATTTACAAGGGGCAGCAAGGTGTGAGGCTTGCTTGCAACACGAGCGCAATGGCGTGGTGGGGGGGGGACGGGGTACGGGGGACAGAGGGCTCTTGGGTAGATAAGACTAGAAATAACTAACTACGTGTGTGTGGGGGTGTGGTGGGGGGGGGTGGGCAGGGAATGTTTTAAAGCCCTACTGTGGCGGCACCACTGTGGTGTCGTCCGACAATGTGCTTGGCGCTGTGGTTGTTGTTGTTGTTCTTTTGCGCAGCCTGCGGCCACGCCCCTTGCGACCCGCCTTCTTCTTGCGATGCACCACATGGGTCTCTGTGCTAAAGCTGACTATCTCGCTCACGCTGCTGCCAATGTTGCTGTTATTATCTGTGGTTGTTGTTGCTTTTGTTGCTGTGGCTGTTGTTGCTGTGGCTGTTGTTTGTGTGGTGTTGCCACCGTTGTTGCGCGACAGCTGTTGTTGAGTGTTAATTGTTGTTGCTGTGTCTTGTCCACTAATAGCGCCACTGCCCAGCGGCAGCTGTTGATTGTCAATTGTGGTTGTTGTTTCTTGTTTATGTTGTTGTTGTTGTTGTTGTTGTTGTTGTTGTTGCTGTTGTGTTTTGTGTTGAGTGTTGCTATCGGTTGTTGGTATTGGTGCCTGCAGCACTGAGGCATGTCGCACAGAGAACGCCGAATTCGAATCGTTGCTGGCGTTGGCGGCATCAACATCGACATCTGTGGCAATGGTGGTGCTCTCTTCGGCACCAGCAGCCTTTGACTCGGCCAGCGATTTCTGCACCTTGCTCAGTATGACCTTATCGAGATTGGCTATCGAGATGACTAGGGGAGAGGATTCGTTGGACTCGGGACGCAGTAGGGGTACAATGGGTCTTACGTATGTGGCCTGTGCGGCAGCGGTGGCTGTGGCGGCGGTCGGCACCACTGTGGTTTCGCTTTCAATGGTCGTTGCTTCCTCTGTCTCCTCCTGCAGCAAGCTGTTGCTGTTCAGCTGCTTGCCCTTGCGGGCCGAATCGAAGAGGCCCTCCAGCGAGATGGTGGATGTCTCCAGGGCACCACTGATCACCTCCGGCAGCAGGGACTTTCCACTGCGATCTGCATCTGAATCTGCATCTGCTCTGCGTTTGCGTTTGCGTCTGCCTCGCTGAGTGGCAGCGTATTCCGCACGGGTGCCGAGGGGGGGCTGCGGTAGGCCGTGGATGTGGGCTCGGTGGGCGTGTAGTCGGCCACGGTGCTGTGGCCATCGTTGATCTGAATGGCGCTGCCATCGACCAGATGCACGTACTTCACCACACTGATCTCGCCCAGCTGCTCCACGTGGGGCAGCGACTCCACCCGCAGCATGCCAAAGTCCTGCTGATTGGCCTTGGACTTCCGCTGAGCGGCCTTCGCCTGCTTCGAGTTGATCTCCACAATGCGATTGATCTCGATCAGCTTGTGCTTGGGCTCGGCAATCGTCTGACGTCCCACACTGGCTGGGTACGGCGCGCCCTTTGGCGGCCTGCTGGTGGAGGTGGAGGCCGTCTGCTCCTCGCCCTCACCCTCGCCCTCGAGCAGGGTGAACACATGCAGCAGTGTGGTGGCCGGCGGCGGTGATTGGGTGGTGCTGGTGGTTGTCTGATCCTGTGGGGGTGAAGAGGAGGCTTCATTAGCATTGTGGGTCTCGTTGGTGATGGTGGTGGGTGGTATCTGTGGTGCTTGTTCTTGTGGTGCTTGTTGTGGTGGTGCGGTATCTGTTTCAATGCTTGTTTCGGTGGTTGGAGTGGTGTCTGTGGTGTTGGTGTTGCTGTTGCTGGTGTCTGGCTGTGTGGTGGGTGGTGTGCTTGGTGTGGTTGTCACATAGCCCTGTTCCTGTTCCTGCTCCTGCTCCTGCTCCTGGGCCACCTGCTCTGTGGTCTCCATCTCAGTGCCAGTCTCCACCTCCGTTCCCGTCTCCACCGTCTCCACCGTGTCCACCTTCACCACCTTCGGCTTGAGGGTCGTGTGCTTCTTGCTGTTAATATCAAAGATCTTCTTGTTCCTGGCATTCAATGCATCGATGTTCAGGTCCTCGATCAGCGAGTTCTCGCTGGCCGTTTCCGTGGCCTCTGTGGAGGGTCCCGTGTACTTGCGCTCGTAGCTCCTCGTGTTGCTGGGAATGAACACCGCCGGCTTCAGCGGCGTCAGCGGTGTGGTGCGCTCATAGTCGCTGGCCACAGGCCGCAGCGTCAGGTTGGGCGTGGCCACGCCCGGCGGTCGATTGACCACGCGGGGTCGCTTGGTGCTGCCGCCAAAGCGATTGCCGGACCCGGAGCCTGGCCCTGGGCCATTAGCCGTCGAGGAGTTGGGCTGGCGACCGCGTGGATTGAAGGGCACATTGCTTCCGCCGGGCCCAGTGGCCCCACCACCCGCTGTGGGAGCGAAGCTCGGACGACTGCCGGGCAGCGCGCGATTGTCCTTGGGGCGGTAGGGATTATTGAACTTTGGCTTGGGCGTGCCGCTGCCTTCCTCTGTCTGAGTCTGTGTCTGGGTCTGTGGCTTTGCCTCTTCGTCCTCCTCCTCATCCTCTTCGTCGTCTTCCTCCTCCTCTTCGTCCTCCTCCTCGCTCTCCTCGTCCTTGCCCTTCTGTGACTGTGGCTGGGTTCGGGCTTTGGGCACAAAAGGCCTCCTCAGGGCTCCACCGGCAGCGCCCAGCGGGCGATTGTTCAGCGGCTGCTCCTGCTGCGCCTCCACAGCCTCCTCGCTCTGCTCCTCCTCCTCCTCCTCCCCGTCATCATCCTCACCCTCCTCCTCGTTTCCTCCTGCTCCCTTTTGCGCCTTGAAGCGGTCGGCACCGGGCAGACGGGATCCTCGGGGATCGCTGCGCACGAATCCCTCGCCCCTGTTGCGGACACTCGAGTTGAATGGATCGAAGCGTCCGTTCTTGCGCCGCACAAACTTCGGTGTGGGTCGTGAGCTATTGAAGCTGAGCGGCGCCTTTGTGGTGGTGGTGGTGGTGCCACCTGCTGCTGCCACTGCGGCGGGTGTGTAGGGTCTTCTGGCCACCAGCTTGCGCTTGAAGAAGGGCCGCGCGGAGACCTCCGTGGGTGGTGGTGCCTCATTGTCGCCGCTGATCTCCGATTTCTCAGACTTGTCCGTTTTCTCGGCCAGCAGCTTCTTGAGGCGATCGTTGATCACACCCTGTTCGCCAGTGCCCCGTGCCTGTTCGGCCTTCACCTTGTCCCTCAATCGCTGCAGCTCCGATATATCCTGATCCTCTGTTCCCGACTTCTGTGCCGATCCCGCAGCTGGCTTCAGGCGTGTGCTCAACACTCCATCGAGTGGTTCGCCCTTGGCCTGCTGCTCCTTGAGGCGTTGTCGCAGATTAAGCAGATCGTTGTCCTGCCCATCCCCGCCTACAAATCGCGTGTGGCTGGGCACAAAGGGCTTATGTGTGGTGGCGCTCTCCTCAGCACCAGCAACACCACTGCTGGTGGGACTGGGACTGGGACTGGGCCCGGTTTCTACGGGTCTAAGCTTGCGCACAATCTTACGGAAACGCTTGGTACTGTTGGTGTTTACTGTGGCGGGTGTTGTCACTGTTGTCACTGTGGTTGCTGTGGTGTCTACTGTGCTGTTGTTTGTGCTTGTGTTCGTGTGGTTTTCTGTCTCAGTGGCGCTATTAGTGGCTGTGCTGTCTGTTGTATTAATGGGTCGTCGAAATTTAAGTACGCGTATGCGCTTTGGTGTCGGCCTGAGGCTGCTGCTGCTGCTGCTGCTGGTGGTGGCTGTTGCTGTTGCAGTTGCTGCCGTTGTGGTATCGGTGTCGGTGTCGGTGTCTGTGTCTTCATCCTCTTCGCTTTCCTTAGTCTGTTCATTCTCTTCAGTCTGCTCATCATCGACTTGGTTTAATTTAGTTACCTGCTGCACACGCTGCCTGCTGCCAAAGGCCAAGCGACGTGCCGTGGATGGTGTTGCCACTGTGCTGGTGGTGCTGGTGGTGCTGCTCTCTGTGTTGCTGCTGCTGCTGGCTCTGCTGCGGTTCAATTGATAACGATTCTGAAAACGTCGTTTAGAATTAACTTCATTACCTATAACAACACTCGAATTTGCATTCGCATTCCCTTTCGCATTCACATTTAACCCAATATTATTCTCATTATTCCCTGGACTAGCATCGTTTTCATCATTATCATTAACATTCACATTATCATTATCATCATCAACATCATCATCATCACTATCTTTATCTTTATCTTTTGGTTGTTGTTGTTGCTGTTTCGTGTGGTTGTTGTTTGTGTAAATGTTTGACTGGTTTTTGTTTTGGTTTTGGTTAAGCTTGAAACGATTAAACAAATAATTGGCTACGGTGCTGTTGCTACGACTACGACTAGCTACGACATTCAGCGGTGGTGCTGTTGCTGTTGCATTGCTTGTGCTGGTGCTTGTGCTGGTGCTGTGGTTAGTGTTAGTGGTGCTACCGTATACCCTGCTATTGTTGCTGTTAGTTTGGGATACCTCTACGGAACTATCTTCATCATCAACATCAACATCCTCATCATCCACATCCGCCTCGATCTCGTCGTCCTCGTCATTGTCGTCCTCGTTTTGTTTTGTTTCAGTCTGGCTTTGTTTCTTGTCAGTCGGTGGTGGTGGTTGAGTAGTTCTCTGTCTGCTGGCAAGCAATTGGCTTAATCTCGTAGCTGATCTGGGTGTGGTTCCATGCTGCTGCTGCTGCTGCTCCTCTTCCTCCTCATCGTATTCCTCCTCCTGCTCCTCCTCTTCAGGCTCAGGCTCAGGCTCAAGCTCTTCCTCAGCTCGATGGTAGAGATTCCTATTGAGTGCCACCAGATTGCGTCGCGTACTGGAGCTAATCCGCAGCGGTGCCGCTGTGCTGCTGCGACGTGTGGCAAAGCTGACGGGCTTCAATGCCCTGTGGCGGTTCGTTTGAAGAAAGCCACCGCGTGCTGTGGAGCTCTCCACGCGCTCTTCATTCTCCTCGTAATCGTTCTCGTTCTGGCTATCGTTATCGTCATCGCCATCATTGCTGTCGGCATTGGTTGTTGTTGTTCTGCTTGTTGTACTATAACGATTACGTGAGCGATTCAAGGCCGCATATGGACGACGTGTGGTTATCTCGTTGGCATCATCGGCGTTTGTGGAAGCCCCCAATGTGGTTCTGGTTCTGGCTGTGGTTGTTGTCGTCCCATTAAAGCGTCGGCGTATCAAAAGTGGTCGCCGCCCCGCCGTGGTTGTTGTTCTTGTTGATCCACTGTCGCCTTGTTCTATTTCATTTTCATCGCTTTGACTGGCTGATGGCTCTGCTGTCGTCGTGGTGGTGGCTGAGGTGGTTGTTGTTCCATTAAAGCGGCGACGTATCAAAAGCGGTCGACGTGTCACGGCTCCAGCGGTTCCAGCTGGTGTTGTGCTGCTCGATTCTATTTCATTGTCAAGACTGTCATCGGTGGTGGTGGCTGAGGTGGTTGTTGTTCCATTAAAGCGACGCCTGATAACCAGCTGGCGACGTGGTGTTGGCCGCTCGCTGCTGGCCCTCAGTGGTTGTGGTTGTGGCAGCTGTTGTTGTCGAGCTGACTTCTTCATCGGAAATCTCATTGTCATCGGGTTGTTCGGCCACCAGCTCCTCATCCTCATCCTCCTCCTGCTCCTGCTTCTCAGTGGTATCCACCTGTGGGCTGGAGTCTGTGGAGTCTTCAGTGGTTGCCCTCTCGCCATTTTCCCTCTCTGTTTTGGGTTCAATTTCATTTCCAGATGGAAGCTCTGTGGTTGTTGTTGTTGTAGTTGTCACCCTGCGATTGAGAGCCTTGTAGGGTTGTCGTGTGCTGGTACCAGTGGTTGATTCTGCTGCTGTGGTTGTTGTCGCCTCTGTGGTTGTGGTGCTTGTACCGCGATTCCTCAGTCTGTTCAGTGCGGCAAAGCTGCGTCGTGTGGTTGTCACTGATGGAGTCACTTCCGTTTCCGCTTCAGCTCGTTCTTCTTCCGCTTCCTCTTCCGCTTCCGCTTCTTCTGCTGCTTTTGTGGTTGTTCTGATTGTTGTCGAGCGGCTGCGAAAGCGTTGGGGAACGCTGTAGGTGGTTCTCCTTGTGGTTGCTTCTGCTGGCTGCTCCTCCGACACCTGCAGCCTGGTGGACAGGGTGAGGCGTGTGCGATTGAGCTTCGTGTAGGTGCGCAGGGCTCGGGCATCCTCCTCGCTACGCTGGGCAGCCGCAGCTTCATCGGTGGTGGTGGTGGTGGTGGCGCCTCGTCCATCTTCTAAGAGCGAGAGGCTCACGATCTTTGAGGTCTCGTTTGACGAGGCCGTCGTCAGTGGTATGGTCTTGAAGGTCTTGCCCCTGCGTTGCGACTTTAAAACCTCATTCTCATCCCCATCCCCGTCATCATCATCGTCATCGATTTGTGCGGTTAGCTCCTCCTCCCCATCGTTGTCGTCGTCCAAAGTCTCCTCACCTGATCCGACCAATTTTGCCCCCGGGTGGCCTACTGTGACCCGGGGGTTTTCAATAAAAAATGACCGAGTTCGGCGTTAATCTCCTTGGCCTGCTCCATGGCCAGGCGGTGCTCCAAAGGCTCTTTCTCTTCCTTTTCCACCTCTCCCTCATCCTCCACTTCTACCGAATTATTCAGCGTGTCCTTGGCGCTCACATTGAAGACATCGTGAATCTGCTGGCGGATGTTCACCGTCACACTCTCAATGTCGGGCGGTGCCGGGGACTTGTCTATATACGTTATGGGCGAATCCTTCACATACTGATAGTACTTCCGGCGATGGTAGATGGGCAGCGACAGCTGCTCCTCCTCGCTGGTGTCCTTGTCCGTCCCCGTGGCTGGACTTGCTGTTTCTGTGGCCTCCACTTCGTTGCCCGCCTGCAGGTGGTTCAGGGCGCTGTTCAGCTTCTGCTTCAGCAAACTCAGATCCTCCTCTGTGGTGACTGCCGAGGGCTCTTCTGTGGTGGTGCTGGTTGCTGTCGTGGTGGTGCTTCTCAGACGATTCACAAACCGCTGCTTGGCCGCAGACAGTTGATCTTCCGTGGTAGATTCATCGATCGCTGCCTCGGTGGTTGTTGTTGATGTTGTTGTACCTATGGGTCTTCGTTGGGTCAGCACACGTCTGGTGGTGGCAGATGCCGCTTTCGTTGGCGCCTCTGTGGAAGCTGGTGATGGTGATGGTGGTGGTGCTGGTTCCTCTGTGGTGGTTGTTGTTGAGGGACGTTTGAACCCAGCAAAGCCACTGCGACGAGTACTCGCCTCAACCACAACCGAACCTTCGCGGCGCGTGGTTGTTGCTCGCGTGCCTGCGGTGGTTGTTGCTGGTCTCGCTGTGGTGGTTCTTGTGGGTCTTGTTCTGCGTTGAATGGCCCTAGCTGTGGAGCTGGTGGTGTGTGGTGCCTCCACGGCATCGCCCTCTGCCTCGATATCGTTCTCTGCCTCATACTCAAACTCTTCGACCTCCTCATGCTCGATGGTCTCCTTGGGTCTCTTCAGCAGACGCCGGCGTGTCTTTGTCACCGTTGCCTCTGGTGGTGGGGTCTTCTTGCGCTGTCCCCGCGTTGAAAAGTCGAGGGCCAGCAGCGATGACAGATCATTGCTCTCGAACCGCACCGATCCGCGATTTCGGGTAATCACGCGCGGTGTGGTGCTGGCAGGGGGCGCATGGCTCACTTCGTCGTAGATGTACTCGTATTCCGCAGGCTTCTCCTCCACCGTCTTGGTGTGAATGCGCTTGACCACCTTCTGGCCGGCGTCCAGGGTGCGCACATAGGTGGTGCGTGTCCGGGTGATGCCGTTGCCCAGGGATTCGACCTTTGTTGAGGTGCGATTGCGCGCCGCTGCAGCACCGTTCAGTGATCCGCGACTCTGGAATTTGGCAGTTACTTTGCTTCCTTCTACCTCTGCTGCCACCTGGTCTGCCTTTGCAGCCTCCTGGGCTGCCTGCTGGTCTGCCTGCTGGTCTGCCTTGGCTTCCTCCTGGTCTTCCTCTGTTGCTTTTGGTGCTGCTGCTGTTTTTGGTGCTACTGCAGCGGCTGTGGGTTCCACTCTGCGGGACTCTTGGTGGTTGTACCTCAATCTCTTGTTGGCATCGGCGGCCAGCAGCGAGGAAAGATCCCCCTCCTTGCCTTGGGGCCTGAAGCTGCCACGCACTATGACGCGACGTCTGGGCAGCCCTGTGGTTGTCTCTGGTTGGCTCTCCTCCGCTGCGGTGGTTTTTGTCGTTGTGGTTGTCGCTTCTGTGGTGCTGCTGGGCGTCTTGTTGCGGAAGAAAGAGCGTCTAGTGGTGGCTTCTGTGCCTGTATCTGTACCGTCGCTTGCGGAGCTGCTGCTGCTATTGTCCGCTTCACTGGTGGTTGTTGTTGTAGAAGGAGCTTCAGTGGTGCTTGTTCTACTGCCACGGAAGAAAGAGCGTCTTGTGGTGGGTCCCTCTTCTGGCGCATTCAAATCATTTTCCTGTGCTTTGGGGGTGGCAGTGCTGCTGCTCAGTGGAGCCTCAGTGGTCGTTGTTTTACCCCCTCGAAGGAAGGATCCACGTTTTGTGGGCTCGGTGGTTGTTGGGTCATTGATTTCCGCTGTGGTTGTGGTGGTGCTGCCGCGACTGAAAGAACGACGACCGGACTTCGAAGTTGTCTCTTGTGATTGAGACTCTGTGGTGCTTGTGCTGCTTGCAGGTGGTTCAGTGGTGCTTAAGCTGCTAGCTGTGGGTTCTGTGCTGCTTGCAGGTGGTTCAGTGGTGCTTGAGCTTTCGCTGATATCGTTGGCAGTTTCTTCATTCAAGGATAAGGTAGTTTCTTCCAGAATGGACTCGTCTGTGGAGCTGCTAGCAAGTGGTTCAGTGGTCGAGCTGCTAGTGGATTCTTCAAGGGTGGAGCTGCTACTGCTATTGCTGTCGCTGTCTTCCAGCGTTGGGAATGTGGTTACCTCAGCCAAGTTCAGGATCTGTGGCTCTGAAGCCACTTCCGTTACAGTCTCCGGTGACTCTTGCTCGGTGGCCGTGTTGCTGTCATCCGCATTGACGGCACTGGCGGCGGGTGCCTTGGTTCTGCCGCGTGCAACCACTGGTGGCTCATCGTCGATCACTTCAGCGGCCACATTCTCATCCTCCTCCGTGGTGGTCTCCACCACAATCTGTCCGCCGCGTGAAATGGGCTGGTAGTTGCGTGTTGGTGGCCTCGTGGCCTCCCCCAAATCCCTCACGAAGCTCGAACTGCGTCCCGCGGTGAGGTGTGCTGCGCCCTCGTTGTCGCGGCTAATGGCCTGGTAGCGGATCTGCTGGTCATCCGATGAAGCACCTCCTCCTCGGCTGGCAGTGCGTTGAATGCTTTTATAGGTGCGCGAACCCGAACCCGAAGCGGAACCGGATACGGAAGTTGATGCCTCAATGGCTGCCTCGGACTCTTCCTCCGCAGAATTCAGTCGCCGACTGCGGTACTTGGAGGGCAACAGCTGCTGCTGCTGCTGCTGCTCCTCAGCATCATCATCATCATTATCGGCGGACAGCTGCTTGCCGGCATACCTACGTGTGTCCTTGTCTTCGCCGGCCAGGGCATTGGGCCCCGCCCCAGCCCCAGTCCCAGCTGGGAACCCAGCCGAACCTGGCCGTGCTCCCGTGGGTCGTCGCACCGAGCGCCAAGTGTACTTGGTCTTGGTGTAGCTCTCAGTGTCTGTGTCTGCGTCATTGTGGGGTTTACTTATAATAGTTCTAACTACGTCATGCCTTAAGCTATTGCCACCATTACCATTATCTACTTCTACTTCTACATTTTGGTGGTGCTGTTGTGGTGCACTGATTGCGGTTGCTGTGGTGGTTGTATTGGTTGTGGTTTCGGCGGTAAGACTGGCAAGACTCACCTTGGGCCTATCCACTTGGGATAGTCGTGTCTTCTTCACTACATTCACAACTGCATCTGTTATCTGTTTATCGTTTGCGTTTACGTTTGAGTTATCGTTTGAGTTGCTATCGTTTATCGTTGTGGTGCTAGTGGTGCTTTGGACTGTGGGTCGTGTGCGCCGTCTGGGATAACCAAAGGGTCTCGGACTAGATACGCTACCCAGCGTATTCGGGTTAGTTGTGGGTGGTTCTGTGTTCGTTGTCTGTGTGGTGGTGGTTCTTTGTGGTTGCCTTCTACCAGAGTAGTTGGTTCTAATGCTATTTACGTTAGTGTTGCTAATGCTATTCAAACCGTTTCGACTAGCATCGATCGCAGCTTCTGGATTGTTGTTGCTGTTGCTGTTGCTGTTGTTGCTGTTGGTGGTTGTTGTCGCCGTTGTGGTCACACGTCTGCGATTTGTGTTTGCATACTTTGTGTATTGTGTCTTGGTTTTTGTTACCTCACTGTCGTCACTGTCGTCCACGTCCACGTCATTGCGTTCGGTGTTGCCAGTGATTGTGGTTTCTGTGGTTGTCGTTGTCGTTGTGGGTGTTGTTGTTCCCAGTTCGGGCTCTGTTGCTGTCGTCGTTGTACTGATGGCTACGTCAAGGACTTCTGGGATTGTGGGAGAGGCATCGCCCAGTGGCTCAGTGGTTGCCACAGAGTCTGAGTCAATGCTGTTGGCGGATCCTAAAATTGGTGTAGGTGTGGGTGTGGGTGTGGGTGTGACTGTGGGTGTGGGTGAGGTGTGCTGGTTAGTGGTGGTTGTTGTGGTGCTTTCAATTGGTTCAGTGGTTTCGTTAGTTGTGGTTTCTGGTTGGGTGGTGGTGGTGGTGGGGGTGCTCGGTGGTTGAGGTGGTGTTGTAGTGCTTTCTGCTGTTGTTGTTGGTATTGTTTGGCTGTTGTTGTTGTTATTCTGTTTCACATTGTAGCTGCTGTTGTAGTTGTAGTTGATGTTGTTGTTGCTGTTGTTGTTGGTGGTGGTGCTGGCCTTGGCTGTCTCTGTGCCTTTGGTGGTTGTTGTTGTTGTTGTTGTGGTTTCTGGTGTTGTTTCTGTAGTGGTTGTTGTTGTTCTACTGCGACCAATGCTCGCATATTTACGTGTATTTTGGTTGCTTGTGAGACTCTGTTTGCTCTGTACCGTAACATTTTGCTGCGGCTCATCCTCGTACTCCTCCTCATCCTCCTCGGCATCGGCGGCAGCGTCCTCTGCGGCGGCAGCAGCACCACTATTGCCGCTCTTCGTGGGCCTTGTGCGTTCAAAGTATTTGTAGCTGAAATGAAAACGTGCCCGAGGCTTGAGGCAAGGATATATGGGAAGGATAAAGTGGATTCTCACCGATTGGTTGTTGACTCCGTTGCCGTGGTGCTGGTGGTGGCCTCTGGCTTCTCGGTGGTGCCGCGTCCCCGCGTGCGGCTCAAGCTGGCGTAGGATTTCACTTGGCTAAGTGACTGCACCACCTGCTCGTCCTCCTGCTCCTCCTCCTGGGATGATTCTGCTGCGACTGGGGCCGCTGTGCTGGAGGGTCGCGAGCGTCTCAGACTGGTGTATGATGGCGTGGCAGCACTGATGGCTCGTCGGGTGGTGGTTTCCGGCTCGGACTGCTCCTCAACTGCTTCCTCGGACTCGGACTCAGCCTCGGCCTCGCCCTGGCTGGACGAACGATGCCGATTGATGGTCACATACTGCTTGCGCTCCTTCAGGAAGCCATCGAACTCCGTGAGCTTCTCGATGCCCTCATTCTGCGGTCCCTGGCGACTGTTGCCCCTCAACACCGAGGAGTACTTGGAGTAGTTCGAGTTGGAGGCGCTGCTCTCGGTGCTGGTCTCTGGGGCTGCAGTTGGACCCTCGTTGATCTTAAATCGATTGCGCGTGAATGAGTTGAGTGTTCCTGGGCGACTGAGCACGCGATCGTAGAGGGACTTGCTGATGGTCGAGGGTGTGGTCGGTGCACCGCTGGCGGAGTTCTCCTTGAGCGTGATGGAGCCGTCCTTGTTGCGCAGCAGATGCTTCTCCAGCTGCTCGACTCCACCCACCTTGCGGATGAGATCGATCAGCTCCTTGATCACCTGCGGATCCTCTTCCCCGGGCGACTGCTCCTCGTCGGTGAGGCTGCCCTCCTCCTCGTACTCCAGCTCCTCCTCAGCTGGCGGCGCTGCAGTGGTTGTGGTTGTGGTCGAGGTGCTGCTGGTGGTGCGTGGTGCATAGATGGGTCGTGCTGGTGGGGCAGCTGTCACCCGATTGGGTCGCACTGTAGTCGTTGTCGTCGTCTTCGTCGTGGAGGTCACAGGAGGCGATGCTGTGGTGGATCTAGACAGGGATTAGAGTGATTGGATCATGGGAGTGATTGCTGGACACTCACTTCTTGGTCTTGCATGGCACATTGCGGGCAAAGTCACAGGAATCCGCTGCCGGATTGAAGTACAGTCCCGAGGGGCACGTAAACTGATGGGCCACAATGCCCAGGCCCGAGGGTCCGCTGTCCAGGCACCAGTAGTACTTTTTGCAGTCCCGCGGATGCTGGAAGAAGCCCTCCTCCTCGCACTTGAAGTCCGATCCCGGATCGGGTGTGGTCGGTGGCGGTGGCGTGGTCGAGCCACGTCCTCCAATGTACAGCGATGAGCCCTCGGCCTCCGTCAGCCTAAAGGTGGTGCTCTGTGGCGGTGGTGCTGTGCTGCTGCTGGTGCCGGTGCGACGTCCACCGCTTTGGCCTCGCCTCGCGTTGGCCGGCGTCGGTGGCTCTGTCTTGGCATTCAGGCGGTTCCTGTTTTGTCCGGCATTGTCGCGACTGCGGGAACGCGATGGTTTCTGGGGTCCACTCGGCTTGGCCACCTCGTTGATGCCCAGTCTGCAGGGAGGGAGGGAGTAAGGATGTGGATTAATAAGAGAATTTCGGCTGGCACTGGTCCAAGGATGCATACCCAAGAGCATCCACCATGGCCTCCTTGGCGGCCTCGATCAGGGGATATGGCTTGCCGTTGCATGTGCCACGGAAATCGTCGTTGTCTATGGCCCAGAACATGATGCCGCCCAGGCCATGGGCCACCACGTACTCGGCCTTCTTTCGCACCATGGCCTCGTCGTCGTAGCCCACCCACTGGTTGCGCCTGTAGGCATAGGGGCCCATTACATTCGCATTCGGCTGCACCACCGTCCACTCGGGATCGTCCTTGAGCGTCTGACAAATCTGAAAGCGAGTAGCAAGTAGCGAGTAGTGAGTAACGAGTAAAGAGTAGCGAGTAACGAGTGGAGAATGGAAATTTTAGTAGGGCTATGGCCAACTCACCTCGTAGTACGCCAGATAGCCCTTCTCCCGTGTCGCATCGCCCTGCTCGCCGGGACCCTCCGAGGGGGCTCCCAGCTCTGTGCTCTCCTCGTTGATCAGTGTGTAGGATCGGCCATAGGTGGGAATGCCCAGGACGAGCTTGTCCCGATCGGCGCCCGCCTTTAGGTAGTATTTGATGGAGTAATCCTTTAAAGAGAATAACCCATTAGAACGCTCAAATTGAGTGGCAGGTCGATCTGTCCGCTGTTCCTGTACGTACAATATTCAGCTCGGCATCGTAGTTGTACTCGGAGTCCTCCTCCAGAGAGTAGAGCGGTGCGTGGTGGTTGACGGATGGTTCGTGCGACGAATGGAAGTCGTAGGTGAGGACATTGAACCAATCCAGATACTTGTTCAGCTTGGGCACATCGTAGCCCTTGTCAATGTACTCGATGCCCGCTGGCACGGCCATGGTCAAGAGCAGACGAGTGCGTCCCGTCTTCTGGGCCTCGCGCTCAAACTCCGCCCGCAGCTCCTGCACAAACTGGGCGTAATTGTCGCGGTCACGTGACTTGCCGCCCTCGCGATGTGCCGGATACTCCCAGTCCAGGTCGATGCCATCAAAGTGATTCTGTCGCAGAAACTTGAGGATATTCTTGATGAACTGCTGTCGGCGCTCGTTGCTGGCGACCAGCGGAGAGAAACGAGAGCTGGCCTCGTTCCAGCCGCCAATGGCAATCATCGTTTTCAGCTGCTTGTTGTAGGTCTTGAGGCCGGTGAACTTTGCATAGCCACCTGGTTGTCAGTCGCAGGGAATGGATGCAGATGCAGATGCAGACAGACAGGAAATTAAAATCGAGTTGAATTAACATTGAATGGGGGGGGGAAATGATGGTGCTGGTGGTGGTAATGGTGTGGGAGATGGGAGATGGGCACATGGGCACATGGGCGAATGGGAATGCATTTATTTACCCTGCTCAATGTCCTGGTACTTGTCGAAGGGCTTCATCTGGTTGTCCTTGGTGAATCCACCGAATGCGTAGACCAAATGTGTACACAAATATGGATTAATATTCTGCGGATTGAATTTTGCCGTACCCGGACGGTAAACACTCCAGTTCGTGTAATAACAAACGACGCGACCCTCGCTGCTGGCCTCTGTAGGGATTACAAATTAAATATAGTATATAGTATATAGTATATATGTACATATGTATATAGTATATCGATCGCTTACCATTTATGCAATATGCGAGTGCGCAGAGCAGGAAGAGCGCTTGCCAGGCCGCTCCACGCCGGAACTGCCCAGAGAAGAAGGGAGAGCGAGAGAGAGAGAGAATCAGAAGTGAAAATTTGATTAGATAATTATTTTCGCTTCAATTTAGATCCCAAGGCGGAAGCAATTAGCATGCTGTCAGGCAGCATTGACACAGTGACATCGATGGACAGATCCGCATAAATCTGGGCGAACAAAAACACACACCAGAGACAACCACAAGAGACAAGAGACAAAAGACACGAAAATTCGAAATTCGAAACTGTTTGAAAAGGTTCCCATGAAGGTCGTTTGTTGTCTTACATAACCACAAGAGTTGAGACGAGTTGAGATGAGATGAGAGATCTGTGAAGATGAATTTTATATGCAAATTGGAACTTGGCTGAAATGCAAATGCCATTGGGACACGCCCAGTTGTTGTTGCTGTTGTTGCTGTTGCTGTTACGACGCGTTGTGTGGCTGTGCTGTGGCATAAGGAAGTTTTCTGTTTTGGCATCAAATTAGATCATTCGCAGAGGCCTCAGAGAGGTGACTCATATACGATGGATATTTTAAACGGATTTTCATATTAAAATGCCAAAGTGTTACAACAGCCACAATGGGCCCAAATCTGTTTTGGGGGTTTTTTTTTTTGGTCAGCAACCACGCAGAAAGAGAAACAGCTAAAAAAATTACATAAGCAAACGCAGACGCAGCAGCAGACGCAGCAGCAGCCGCAGAGCTCCAATACAAAAATAAAAATAAAAACTTGTAGCCCCCCTAGACGACTTCGATTGCGTGTGTGTGTGTGTGTGTGCGTTAGGCCAGTGCCGGTTTTAAGTTGGCCCAAAAGACACACACACACACACACAGAGCTGTGCGTTCATTCATCGAAGTGAATTGTACATGAAATAAATTGATCAAGTCACCATGTAAAACATCTGCAGCAGCAGCAGCAAAAAAACATCTGCCAGACATCTGAAGAGATCTGGGAACAGGTTGAACCATCTCATAACTAATTAGCAAAGCTACCCCACCCTACCCCACATACCCCCCAATGCACAGTCACAATATCACATACACATATGTACATACATATATACACCTACTTATATGCACATAATATTTGTCTGTGTACATATGTGAGCTGTTCGGCTCTTCAACGAATTTTGCTAATCAAAAAAGTAAAAAAAAAATCAAAAAAGTCTGTCAGGCCGCAGGCCGCAGGCAAAACTTTCTATTTGTCATAAGTCTATTGAATATGAAAAATAATTTATGTCATATAATACACAGAGCTCTAGACAACAATAACCCAGTGCCTGCCAAAGCTTGGATATTATTTTTCGTTGGGGCACTTAAAATTCCAGTCAGTTGTGGTTTAATTATTTGCCAAGACTTAAACCGAGACTAAGAGGAAGAGCAGAGCAGAGCAGAGCAGCACCTTTTAATTGGAGCACAGAGAACCAAAGTGCAAACCGTTGAGAGCGACCCCAAAAACGGGGAGCTGGAAGCGCTCACCCAAAGAGCAATGCTCTTTATTTATTTTTGCCTATGTGCAGTGGGGTGGGTTGGCTGGGGCTAACTCATAGAAAATCCATCAATAGACTGTTGCGATTTGCAGCTTTCGCCGCCATAAGCCGTAAATCGCAGCCGTATCCATATCCGGCAAAGCTGCTTGCCACTCAAGACATTCTATGGATGTGGATATGTGGATATGGATATGCTACGAGAGTATGTCTGTGGGGTGAGGTGGGGTGGGGGAGGGTAATGGGTAATGGCACATTTACCTACTGACGAGCCAGCAACAACAGAAATAACAAAAAGAAAAAGAGTGTTCAGACATTGATTGGGTCATTGGACCAGCATAAAGCTAAACGAGTAATGTTTATGGAACTCTTTGGCCATTTACATTTATATATAGCCATCATTTACATGGCTTTCAGTTCGGTTTGCCTGTTTGCCTGTTTGCCTGTTGCCTGGTTGCCTCTTGGCTTTTGGCTGTTGTCTCTTACGCATTGCTTAACATTTCTTTATGGCAGCGACTGCAGCACAGCTGCTTACATAAAATTGCATGCCAAAAACAACACAAAAATACAGCAACAGCAACAACAACAACAACAACAAGAACAGCAACAACAAACAGATACGAGTATCAAAATAAAATAAAAACAAAACAGAAAACAACTTGAATGAAAATGAAATGACAACAATTTGGATTGTACAATGCGCATGAGCACTCGCATTGATTGGCCGCCGCGACTCTCTTGGCTTGACAAATTTGTCGATTTTACGCAAAGTGAACACAAAGTGTCCAGCAGCAGCAGCAGCAGCAACAGCAACCAACCAACCAACAGGCGTCTGCAACACATGTACTTAAAGGCAAATGCCAGATTTGCTTGAGCTTTGCTCGAGTTTTTTTTGCTCGAGTAACATGGAGTTACTTTGCTCCATAGAGGCTTTACCACTCACTCTCACATATGTAGCCACATATTGAGAGATCATTGCAAGCTTATAATCCATAGGAATATGACTGGCAGAAGTTGAGTTGCAAGCGGAATTGGCAGACAGGCCAGTCAGGCGATACTCCCCTCATATGCCCAATGTTAGCCCTAACGAATGACTGGCATTAGTGTATCGCACTCTTCGGCTTTGCTGGCATTATTTGTCGCCTGGTTTTGGCTAAGTTTTGTGCTCTTTTAATTGCGAATGGCTGGCCGGCTGGCTGGCAATTAAATCAGAGCTAAATGCGGCCTAAATCTGGATGTGGATGGACAGGCGGCAAGCGGGCAGGTTGTGTGATGTGTGATTTGTGATGTGTGTTGCTGCAGGGCGCACCAAAACACACACAACAGCAGCAACAGCAGCAGCAACAGCAACAGCAGCAACAGGCCAAAATTGAGAATCGTTTTTGGCCGGATTTACAGCCAGCGGCTGTAAAAGACTGCGGCACAATTTATGGACAAGTTGTTGCTGCTGTTGCTGCTGCTGCTGCTGCCGACGACAAGTTGCAACACAAAGGCAGAGTGAGGCAGCAGCCCCAAACAGATCAACTGTGTGGCACATATACGAGTACGACTACGACTACGACTACGACGACGAGTCGCCTGCAACTGCAACTGCAGCTGGATAGCCCGTTGCTTACGTAACGCAACACTGCATTACGCTGCCTCACAAATAAAAATAAAAAAAAAGCAAGCCAAAAAGCACCACACAAATATTGCGTAGATATTTGCAAATTTCCAAGAGGCTGGGCCTGGCTTGGCCTGGCTTGGCTTGGCTTGGCTGGGCCTGTCTGTTGCTTTGCATATAATCTGGATCCGTGGCTTAACCTTGAATTGGAATCGGCGAGTGAGAAGAGAAACCCGCTCGGCGAAAACCATTCGAGTAGTTGCTCTCGAATTGGGAACAGGTCGCGCCGGACAATGGCCTGCGCGGCCTGCGGGTGGGGGGCGTGGGGGAGAGAGGGCGAAACCCGAACTCAGTTACTGCCTTGCTCCGATTACCTACCGCCGGCGGTGCCACATGAGGTAACTCCATGCGCTTATATGACATGAGTGCACCCATGAATGCACCCATGAATGAGCTGGGGCCAGGCGTCGCTCGAGTGCCTTGGCTTGGCGTTTTGAATGCCAGCTGCACTCGTTCTAAGCGCTCGCAAATTAGTGCCATGAATCATGAATCAGCAGCAAGTACCCAGTGCCAAGTGAGTGCGTGAATGAATCATGAATGAATCATGAATGAAATGCCATTTTGTGGCTCAATCCATCTTGGTCCAAGACATTCCACAGATAATCCCTACAGCAGCTGCAGCAGACTCACGCGTGCACTCACACTCACACACTCACACACTCATTCACTCATTCACTCATTCACTCATTCACACACTCATTCACATTCCATGACTGGCTATAATGCTGTGTGGCAGTGCGGGTGGGGGGCATGCTGTAAGTTTGCTGGCTTTAACTGCAACTTAAAATTCAAAGACGGTTCCGCTCCATCTCTCGTTCTCCCCGCCTGCCACCTGCTTACCTGCTCATCCCTGGCTGCCGCCCTGGCTGCCGCCCTGGCTCCCTCCCTGACTCCCCTACTTAGCTCCTGTACCGCTGCCCTGGCATTGACTGGAAATTTCCGCTGCGGCACGTAGAATGTGCCTCACGTCATGTCACGTTTCACGTACCGCCGCGCGTCACAATGTCAACGCCCCACAAAACAAAAAAAAACAAAAAAACGTAAGTGCAAAAAAAAAAACAAAAAAGATGCCAAAATGTCTGCCAAGAGTTGCGTATACGCCCTGTGGGAATGCCATTAGGGGGAGGAGGAGCAGGCACAGGCACAGGCCCAGGCAAAGGTGCGGCCCAAAAACCTGAAGAGTTTTGCAAACAAAACTTTTGGCATTTGAAACATTTTTGGCCGGGATGTGGAGCACAGCAGCACAGCAGCACAGCATCTGTCCTCCACTTGCCGCCATATACGACGAGTGCTCTCCCCATGCAAAGCCCGAGGGTGTGGCCCCCCCTCCCCACCCTAACAATGGTGGCCCAGCCAGAGCCACAGATTGGGGCGATAGCTTGATGCATTTAAGTTTTGCATTTAGCGGGGATTTATGCCGTGCGAAAGCCAAGCTCTGAGCATTGTTGGCCAACATCAAGATTAGCGTGCGAAAGATTTTGCATTTTGCCGTCATTCAATCCGCCCTCCACCCCCCCGTTTTTAGCCCATTTGCTGGGCTCTTGCCAAGGCATTTTCAATTAAGCAATCCAAAGCCAAGACACGACCAAAACTGAATCATGGCCAGCGGCACACACAAAAGTGGGCCCAACAGAACAAACCAACAAACCAAACAAACCAAACAAAGAGACCCAACACACGGGCCGAAAAGTGAATTGTGCATGGAATGCGGAAGCCCAGAATGCATTCCTTTGGGAGGGATACTTTGGAGGGTTGCAGGGGAGTCTTAAGACTCTCAAACCCCAGAAAGAATGAGCCAGAGACTGGTGGCAGATCCATCAAGCAGGCTGTCAGGCTGTCAGCGGATAAGATCTCAGG